GTGTCTTAGGCACTACGCTACCAGAGCTCCCCAGAGCTTCTTTAGGAAATAAAAAAATTGGTGTGACACTCGCTTTACTGTGGTGGTCTGGAACTTTACCCACGATGTCTCCAAGGCGTGCCTGTCTTAAGTAGAAAGTATGTCAGATGAGTTGCTTTAACTCCTAGGGTAGTAAAGCTGGCTGGGCACATGGGAAGCAGTACACAAGGCTCTTCCAAGCCAGGCAACTCGAGACAGTGTAGGACAGTCATTAAAAGGACGCTAACTGAAGACAAAGCAAGCTGAGATCTTTACAAAACTACAAACTTTTGAATGCTCAATTCATACATTAATGACAAAACCTCAATGTTTTAAGCTTCAAAAGGGAAAGATGAGAAACATCAACTTCTACAACACATACTTATTTTGTTTTAATATGAATCTTTAAAGTTCCTTTCAAACAAAACAGATATATTATAAAAGCCCAATATTATTAGCATTAAAAATGGCTAAACTATTGAAATCTTCATCCTTTGCTGGTGGAATAAACAGTACAGCTAGTGTTAAACAGTACAGCTGCTGGGTGATTCCTCAAAAAGTTAAACACAGAATTACCATCTGACCCAGCAGTTCATCCCTAGTTACATACCCCAAAGACTCGAAAGCAGGAATGCAAACAGATACTTGTACCAATGTTGACTGTAGCATTATTCACAACAGCCAAAAGGTGGAAATCATCTAAATGACCTTCAACAGATTATATATATATATGATCATATATATATATGACCTATATATACAATGGAATGTACTCAGATAGAAAGAGAAATGAACTTCTTATACATGCTACAAAATGGATGAACCTTGGAAATAGGCTGAGTGAGGTAAGTCAGACACAGAAGGACAAATATTGTATGAACCCACATACACGAAATATCTAGGATAGGCAAATGTATAGAGATCAAAGTTTATTAGTGGTTACCAGAGGCAGGAGGGGGAGGGAGTTACTGTTTAACCCTTTTGTGACCCATGGGACAAACTGTGCCCACCAACAGCTTCAGCCTCTAAGGTTTAGTGGGAAAGAGTTCTCCCATTTTTAGTGCATGCTGCCATCTGCTGGGGGGCCTGTTTAACTGTGTGAATCTGAAGAAATGGGTCTCATCCCATCAACCCCAGCACCAGCGACCTCCTTGAGATTTATGTGTCCTATATGATACTGCCTCAGAAACCCAAGGAGGGGTCGCTATGAATCGAGTGTGACTCAACAGCACATAACAACAACAACAACTGATTATATCAGGGAGCTCTGGTGGCACAGTGCCTAAGGCATCTGACTACTAACCAAAATCTGTATTACCTCAAAAAAATTTTTTCATTTCATTCAAAATGCTTTCCTTACTGAAAACACATGGCTTCAAAAAAAAATTCAAAGAAAAGAATTTGTTCTTGAAAGGGTTAAGAGCACTGAATTTCTATTGAAGGTAGTAACTCCACAACATGATGAAGGTAGTTAATGTCACTGAATGGTACAAGTAAAAAATGACAAAATAGCAAATGTTTGGTGGCATGTATTTTTACTACAACAAAGCAATCACTAAACAGTTTGTTTCTAAGAAGTTACATAGACCAGTCAAATATAATGAGTGACTGCATATTTATCTGTAAAATATCAAATGTACCTGTCCTACCTATGACTCCAGAGTCCCTGGGTGGTGTAAACAGCTAACCCGCTTGGCTGCTAATCTAAAGGGTGGTGTTCGAGTACACTCACAGGCACTGAAAACCTAAAGAGCACAGTCTACTCACACATATGGATCACTGTGAGTCGGCTGACCCAGCTGCAGCTGGTGATAACCTACTACTACACAAAATGGTCAAAAATGAAAATCAAAACGACAGGATGCCAAAGAGCTTGAGAGGCATTTAAATTGTATTATAAGCCAGCAAGTGTCAGAATTTACACAAAGAACACTTAAACACAAGTAATGCTGTGACTTGGTATGATAGAACAGAAAGCGGCACCATCAACATGGAGTCTGATCCTGCTTCAACCCCTAAGTGCTAGTGACCTCAGACCTAATATCAATGCCCATGAGCCTGTTTTCTTATTTAGAAAGTGACAGCACTGCACTGAGAGAAATCTGAAGTGCCTTTTGGCTCTGTCACGATGATTCATAATACCTCACACTGGTTGTTAGTTGCCACTGAGTCAGCTCCGACTCAAGGATACCTTATATACAACAGAACAAAACGTTGTCCAGGCCTGTGCCGTCTTCACGGTTGTTTCACGCTTCAGTTAGTGCTCCTGTCAAGAAGCAACACTGTCCATGACTAGAGTGTCACTCTGTGTTGACAGTCCCAGGTGGATGATTCCCCACTTTTTCCAACTAAATGGGTATGTCATACCTTTGTAGGCCTGTTCACAGACCTGAGCGGTATACACAGGACGGGTCAAAGATTAAAGGAAGGGAAGCCACATTTTATCATTTATGAGACCAGTGACATGAAGTCCAGATTAAGTCATTTACCAACATCTCACAGCTAGTAGAGTAAAAGCTGGATGCAGAAAGCAGGGCTTTAAATGCTCAGTCCACTGCTTTTTTCAATTAGGTACTACTGAACATCTAATATGGAAATGAAGACAGGCCTGGTGGTATGGTGGTTAAGCACTCAGCTGCTAATCAAAACGTCGGCCATTCGAACCCACCAGCCCCTCCATGGGAGAAACATGAGGCAGTCTGCTTTGGAAAAGGTTACTGCCTTAGAAACAGTATGGGGCAGTTCTACTCTGTTCTGTGGAGTCACTGTGAGCCAGAAGTGACTCAATAGCAATGGGTTTGGTTTCTTGGTGAATATGGAGATGTAACACAGCCAATTCTCACCAACATCCAATTTGCCCTGTTAGAAGACAATCATCACATCCAACACATTTAATAAACCACTAGCACTCTCCTTTCTGGGTGCCAGGGATACAGCAATGAACAAAAGAAAAGCCCCGAGCCTCGTGGAACTTACACTGTGAGTAAATGAGCAAAAAAAAAAAAAAAGGGTTTCATACACTATTAAGTGCTAAGGAGAAAAAATGAAGCACAGAAAGCAGACAGAGTTGCAGACAGAAAGCAGTTGGCAATTTGCAATTTTCTTCTTTCAAGCCAACTAGATATCATTTAAGGAGCCCTGGTGGTACAGAGGTTAAAGCAGTTAGCTGCTAAACAAGAGGTCAATGGTTCAAACCCACCAGACACTCCATGGGAAAAATATGTGGCCGTCTGCTTCTGGAAAGATTTACAGCTGTGGAAAACCCTATGGGTAGTTCGACTCCATCCTATAGGGCAGATATGAGTTGGAGCTGACACGACGACAACAGGTTTGGTTTTTGAATTGAGATGCCATTTAAAGAACTACAACAATAATGCATTTAGCTTTCCTAAGCTTTTCCCCAATCGGGGAACATTCTGGATACTCAGTAGACTGTGGCCTGCTGATTTCAATTTGATATCCATTGTTCAAATACTGAACTGCCAGCTATGAGCTGTGTGGCACACTGGCAAAACTCAATGGAAAAGTGGAGACATTTTCTCCCCACTTTTAAATCCACAAAGGAAGAATGCAAATGGGTTTACGAAAGTATTTCAAGAAAAGTTACCACACCACCTAAACTGCTTTTGAGTTAACACAAAGATCTCCTAATGTAAAGCTTTAAAACGTACTTTGTGGGGAGTTCTGCCAGGCCAAAGCAGGAAGAACACACTTCCCATCATTTTGCTTTTTCTGACCTGTCAATTCTAGCCACACTCTCTACCATTAGTCTATATTTAACTAGCTTACTGGACAGTTTCTCCAGCTTTTATTCTTTTTTTTTTTTTTTTCCCCATTAAAAGAGCAACCCAGTTGCAAGAAAACTGCTGTAAAAAACCATCTCCTACAAAATCTGATATGTGTATATAAGCATTGTCTTATCAACTTTTAATTAACCTGGTTAGTTGAACTGGTAAATCAGGTTAAGCTTTGTTTTCCTCAAGTTTAAAAATGCCCTTTTAATCGCTAAAAACCTCATGATTCTTGGGGTTGGAACAGCATTCTGAGAAATACTGTAACTCTTTTTTAATTAGCTGTATTTTAAGTTAATGAGCTCTGGTGGCGTCGTGTTTAAAGCATTTGGCTGCTATCCAAAAGTCAGCGGTTCGAACCCAACAGCCCCTCCGCGGGAGAACGATGAGACAGCGTGCTTTCATGAAGATTTACAGTCTTGGAAACCCTATGGGGCAGTTCCACTCGGTCCTAAAGGGTCGCAATGAGTCAGAATAGACGATGGGAGTGGGTTTGGTTTTTAGTAACGGAGTTTCAAACGGAGTTTCCACAAGGGAATGACAGTGTCACGTTTGATGAAGCGTTCAGACCTCCACCTTAGGGTCCAATTACCCACCCGAAGAAGATCCAATAGGGTTTCCTTCTTCCCACATCCCTTGAGGCGGTGTTTGTTTTGGCTGGGCGAGGAAGGGCGCTCCCCTGCCGTGTTCGCGGCACCCAGTCGGGCCCGAAGTCGATTTGGAGGCGAACCACTGGCAAACTTCGGCTGGGATCCGCCGGCTGGGCCCGGGCGAAGGGGCGGCCCTTCCTGTCGCGGCCCCGCCCTGCTCGCGAATGTTGGTCCCCGGCCGGCCCAGGCCGGCGTCTGGGGGGCCAAGGGGGCTCAGAAGTCCGGACGACCGCGGCGACGATGGGTACACGGCGAGCATGGGCGGGGGGTCGCGGCCCGGGTCAACTCTGAGGGGGCGCGCAGGTCCCGCTGGGGGCACGGGCCCGGCCCGAGCAGCCAGACCGACAGGACTACCGTGAGGAGCGCCGGCAAGTGGGGCCCAGCCCGGGGTGTCTGTCGGGAAGGACAGCGGGCTGAGCCGCGTCTAGAGGGACCCGGGCAGGTGAAGAGGTCCAGGGACGCCAGGGACACGCCCGCCCCGCCCCGCCCCCGGGCTCCGGGCAGCGCGGCTCCGCCCGGCCCGTCGCGGCCCCCTCCTCACCTGATGTACGGGCTAGCCGCCGCCAGGATGTTTTTCTGCACCGGTATCTCCTCCCCGTCGAGCACAAGGTGCGCGTCGCAAAAGCGGGACTCCTCGCGGAAAGAGCTGAGCGCTCGCAGCAGGCGCGCGGCGTGCTGAGGGTCGGACACGGCGCTGCCTTCGGCCATTGCGCCGCCGCCCCTACTGCCGCCGGCAAGCGCTATCCCCTCAGGAATCAGCAGGACCCCTCGCGACACTCGCGTCCGGCGCGCACCTCGTCCGCACCTCTTGCGCTCGCGCCCAGCCGCCGGGCTGGGCTCTTAACACTCCGAACGACTAGCGGGAGGTCCCGGAACGCGCCTGCGCCATCCACTGCGCGGGGCCGGAGCCTTTAAGAAGCAGCGACGTTGCATCATTTCTCTGCGACGCCCCCGCTCTCTCCTTGTCCTCCCTCCCGCCCTCGGTCTCCGAAGGCAACCAATGAGAAGCCTTCTTCCTACTTCCTACAGGCCGGTCCCTGTGGGGAGCAGCCAGAGTGGGAAGAAATCTGGGACCAAGAGCGATCGTTGCGGCGGTGGAGGGGTGTTCAGGCAGGCTAGGACGCGTGTAGGCCTTGGAGCCGGCGTATCTGAATTCGAGTCGCAGCCCTTCCACTAACGAATTGTGTAGCTATGGGTAAGGTGCCCATCCTCAGTCTCCTTATCTGTAGATGAAGATGATGTTTTCTTAGCATTGTTGTGTTAGACAGTGCATGTGAGGCAAGGGCTCAAGAGGAGCTCGCCTTATTTATGACTAGCGTTTACCAAGGAAGAGCACCAAGACCCGAGTACAGAGCATGTTGGTTGCGTGGTAGGGAGGAGAGGTAGCAGATGAAGCTGGAGAAGTAAAGGGGGTGGCGGGCTTAGATTGTGATAAAGAAATTGGTCTTGATCCTGTAGGTGTTGAGGACCATGGGTGGAGGGCTGCAAAGGCGAAAAGATGCTTAGTGCAGTACCTGGAGAAAAGAAATGATGGTCTGCATAGAAGGATAATGACGGAGGTGGATGAAAGTGGGTGGCTTTAAAATAGAATTTTGAGGGAGGAAGAGTCCAGAATCATGTTCTGGTTTAAGTGACGAACTATGTAGATGTTGGTCATTTTGAGGGGGAGATAGAGACGCTTCAGATCTGACCAGGCTCTCACTCAGGGAAGATCAAGGCTGAGACCGAAACTCTGGATCAGCCCAGCTTGCAGGGCAAGCCCCAAACGCTCTGAGGTTTCCCTGGATATTGCTGAGGGGTCATGGGAATGTGTAATGAAGCCATAATTGTTTGCAAACATTAGGTCTTCAGTAAGCTTCCAAAGAATTAGCAAGTTCATGAGGACCAGAAACCAGAAGGACAAAATGTCAGCATAGGCAGGATAGCATTTTCATTGAATCAGCCTCCTTCAGTCAACTCAGAGGCTTCAGTGAAGCCCTGGATCTCTACCTTGTGCCAGCCAAAGATTTGGAGTCATTGGCAGGAATCAGAGTGTAACTGCTTTCAGGCCAGAGAAATAATTAGGGAGAAGCATGCTGTTGTGTAAAGTTCACACATTTCCAGTTCCTTCAAATTACAGGCCTTGCATTTATGGATGAAATGTCTAGGATTTGCTTCAAATGAAGAGGAGTAGGTGGGGGCACAGATAATCATAAGTGGTCATTAGATGGTGACAGTTGAAGTTGTGTGATGGGTACATGAGCATTCATTGTACTGTTCTCTGTATGTTTGTGTATATTGGAAAATTACATAATAAAAACTAATGAACAAACAAAATAAGCAGCTCAAGCTTATCTTGATGATACCTGCCCAGTTCCACTCCCTGGGAGCTGTCGACACTCCTTTCTCCAAGTAGGTGCTGTATTTTGGACATTGCTCTGTGAGGAAGCTTACTGTAATGAGTTTATTTTGTGGTAAATCTTGATGTTCAAGTGCCTATTACAGTGCCTGGCACATAGTAGAACTCAGTGACTGTAAGATGGATGGAGGGATTAAAACACTTGCGACTACCAGCCACTTAATGTTTTTTGGATTGTGTTCTCTGTTCTTAGATTATTTTTATTGGTCGTTTTTCTTCAACTAGGCTGTTGTTGAGGTTGAGAATAATATATATGGCAGGGGCAGTTCTCTGCACAATGTTAAGTATTTGGTAAATACTTACTGATTGATTGCTTGGAATCCTGGTCTGTTTTTCAGTTGTCAGAGGTTCGAAACAGAGCTCAAAATAACAGAATCACAATGAGGTAACCAGTTATCCCAGGATGAGAGTGTAGCCTTAGTTGCAGTATATGGAGATTAGTGGGGATTAGTCAAGCATGCTCTTTCTGGTACCCGTGAACCTTCCGTGTTGTTTTGACAGAAGGAAGGAATGGGATGGCCTGGGTAAAAGGTCAGAGACAGACCAGCGTTAGGAGAATTATAGTTGCTTGCTTGGGTGGGCCACCTTTGTTAACAGGTAGCTAATGAATAGAAGACCTTCTGTGTGCTTCCAGTACTACTACCACTGTTTCCTGTACTCCCCACCACCCACAACTGCTTGTTGAACTCTTATTTTTCAAAACCCAACTCTAGCATGACCTTCAGGAAACCTCCGACCAGCTTCCCAGGACAAAGGAGGTCAGCCACTTCGGCTTCCCTGCTCTGCCACATTCATGCTTTCTGTGCTGTGGGGATCACATGGCACTGTAATTTACTGGTTTGTAAGTCTGTTCCCTTATAGAATTGGGAGATTCTCCAGGTTGTCAGCAAGGTAGTTCCAACTCATAGCGACTGTATACAACAGAAGGACACATTGACTGGTCCTGCACCAGCCTCACAATCATTGCTATACTTGAGCCCACTATTGCAGCCACTGTATTATTAGTCTATTTCCTTGAGGGTCTTCCTCTTTTTTGCTGACTCTATTTTACCAAGGGACTGGTCCTTCCTGATAACATGACCAAAGTACGTGGCACAACGTTTCTAGCTTAGGAACTGTTTATATTCATCCACGTTCCCAGAGATTTGCACAGTGCCAGGCTCTTAGAGGTATCCCTGAAATGCTTTGCACAGTGAAGTTCAGAACAGCAGTGGCTGACCAGGGGCATGAGCAGCCAGGGTGTAAGACATTGAGGGGCTATCGGTTGTGGGGAACTGAAGAGAACTTGGTGTGCTTGCAGTGGACGGCTACCCCTCAGCGCCAGCTCATGCCCCCTGGGAGATGAGGGTCCAGTAGTGCCACATGTAACCACTTCTCAAGAATTCCCAGATGTCAGATACACATGGCAGATGCCTCCGGTTTTCAGCATTGGCAACTAATTCCATTTTGGGGAAAAGTACAGCATGGATCAAACAGAAGGGGTCTGCAGGCAGGATGTGGCATTGATTCATTCTCAGAAGTCATCAGAAAACCATTTGTGTTTCCTAAGAAGGAAGCTCACAATCAAAAGGATGTGAGCTCTCAAGAAAAATTGTGTTGACTTGAACTCAGATGCCGCAAGGAAACTCATCCTGGTGCTCTGGGAAGGTGAGGGGGACCCAGGTGGTGTGCGAGGAAGGATTTAGGGGGCAGGGCCTACCCTCCCGACTGCAGCAGGAGCCACCCCGTTGGGGCCGTGTACTGGTGTGCCAGTCATGAGATAACTCAAACTGATCCATCTTAACAGATTCTGCCTGGGAGGATGGGTACTGAGTACTCTTGTTTTCCCGCATTCCACAGATACCTGACATCAACTATAGTTGTGAAACGTGTAATCTAAGAGATCGGATATTGCCCTGGAAGTTTCAGTCTTTGCTGGTTTAGAGGCTAACAATAAACACTCAGAAAAAGGACATCTCTTTTTTCGGGGGGAAAAAAAAGAGCTTTCTTTTGATGTTCATGAAGGAGGTTCACAAAATACTAACAGTAGTCATTCATTCAGCATGTTTATTAAGCACCTGTGCCTAAGGCATTTGACTGCTAACCAGAAGGCTGGTGGTTCAAACCCACCAGCCACTCTTCAGAAGAAAGACTGGGCAATCTCCTTCCGTAGAGATACTGCCTCGGAAACCCAAGCAGGGGTTGCTATGAGTCGAATGGACTCAACGGCAGTGAGTTTATTTTTTTTAATATGATATGTAGGAGTCCTGGGGGACAGTAATTACGTCCTCCAGCTAATTACTGAAAGGTCGGTGGTTCAAATCCACCAGCCAGGGTAGAAGAATGAGGCAGTCTGCTTCCTGAAAGAGTCAGTCTTGGAAACCCTAGGGGGCAGTTCCAGTCTGTCCTCTAGGGGCGCTGTGAATCAAAATCAACTCCACGGTGGTGGGTCTGGTTACATGATAGAGATGCAGATCCCATCCTGGTGAAACAGACCTAGTTATCTCTGCGGTATCATTGTAGAGATTTTTTTTTTTCCTTCGTTGTGTTTGTCTCTAATTTCTGCACTGAGCGTGTGTCATGTTTACAGTCAGAAAAGAACAAGACAGCAATTTCCATTCACAGGGAAAAAAAAAACTTTCTTTAGCTTTGAAAACTGGGCCCTTATGACAAGAATCACCTTGGAGTTGGGAGTTCAATTTTTAAAATAAGTGTTAAAAAGAGGAGACACTAAGGAGAGTTTAGTAAATATAAGTAATGTAAATTTAACAAATGAATAGTTAGTTGGAAGGCTCTTTCGAAACACTGAACCCAGTGGACTCATTGTATCGAGGAGGGCAAAGTCAGACACGTGACCTGGTCAGGCCGAGCGAGCGCCGAGGCCAGCCCTCTCCAGCCCTGTAAACTTTTCCATGACATCGGGGACTCTTCTGAAACATTAATGTGGTTAAGACTGTCGTGGTTCTTCTCCTTTAACATTTTATTGTGATTTGGGTGAAAGTTTATAGAGCAAATTAGTTTCCCATGAACAGTTTACACACATTCTGTCTCATGGCATTAGTTGCAATTCTTTCTGTGTAACAGCATCTCCTGATTCATTTTAAGGCCGTCTGCAGATAGTTTATTGGATAAACCTGTCATTTGTCCAGATCTAAATATAGCTCTATTCTTTCGGAAAATCTAAGCGCTTCCAAATTGCTGACTCAGAGAACATCTCAGTATTTATAATGCTTCACTCTTTACCTTTACACAGGACTCAGAGAAGTGTCTCAGACAGTCCTGAGCTAATTGAGTCATAATGTTCCATGAAGGCAGTGGCTGTTTCTGTCCA